GCTTCACGGCACGCCCCTTGGCAGCAAGACTGGCGGCACGGTGTGCGCCGCAAGGGCACGGGCACCATCGGAGTGAGCGACCTGGCAGCAGCGTTGGCCACGCGATGGCTGCTGGCCGCGAGAGGGCACGCTTGGAGTGAGCTTCCTAGCAGCTACGCCAGTCATGGATGTGGCCGCCAGGCAAGAAACACGCACGGGAAGCCCACTGGAGGCTGACGGGAGGAACACGCGAGGGATGCCGCCCAGCGCACCTGCACTGTGGAAGGTATTGAAGCAAACAGAAGGCCCATTCAGGCAAGCCTGGATCGGGGCAAAACGTCGTGGGAAAAGGTCGAAACCTCTGGGGCCCTTCGGATTGGAAAAGCACGACGCCAGAGGTCTGGGAAGTAATGGATTCTGAGACACATATTGAAATCTACATGACGCTGGAGGTATGGGAATGACTGGACTCTGATCCAGGCTACCCAGCTTCTTCAGGACCGCGGAATCACCAACGACCTCACCGCACAGTCCGTCACCGCACGGTTCGTAGAACGGCCCGAGGCCAAAAGCCGAGCGGTGACCCCGAATCCCCACCGACTCACTCGGTGGCGAAATTCGAACCCTACCACCACCAACCGTCGATTCTCCTGAATCGACGGGAGGCAAAAGTAGGTTTCGGATGTCGCAAGGTGTCTGACAAATTCCGAACCCTACGCCCGCCGCCCATCGATGCCTGAATCGTTGATCGGCAAGGGTAGGGCTCGGATTTCGCCGCCGACCTAACTCGGGTCTCCCTCTGTTTCTCGGCACGATCTGGGCAACCCCGGAACGCTCTCGGCGAGGCGCAGCTGCTGGAACGCATCCCGAGGCGGGAAAGCAGCCGAGAACCGACGAAATCGGCCGAAAACCCCGACCCCCCACCCTCTGACTCACCAAACGGTGTGTTCGCCACACCGCTTCTCAGGAGAGGCTAAGGCCACAGGCAGAGCAAGCCCAGGCGGGGGCCAAGCACTCCATGCGGACTCGCTCCGCATGTGCTCGGCATCCTGCCAGGAGCGGCAAGTCCAGACGGAGCAGGTCCGTACGGAGACCGAGCACTCCGCATGGATTTGCCATGCCCGGTGGCACCCCCCGAGTTTCGACGCCCCCGGGCTTCGCCCCGCGCGGAGCATCGGGGCCAGGAGGAGCGGGCACCCGCGCCCTCGCGGCAACTGGCCCCTGCTGCTGCTGCTGGAGGGCGCCTCAGATTCGCGGCGCGCACCTAGGGGGGACGGAGGGAGGGGGGGGGAAGGCTTCTTGGAAGGAAGCTGCTGCTTAGAGGCCGCCGGCCTTACATCTGTAGACAAGGCCCGCGCCTTCTGAGAAGCAGGGGCGCTTCTAAAAAGCCCCCACCCCTCCCGCCACCCACCTCTGCGAGTGGCTGATCAGAGGCCCAGGCCGCGCGAAGCGCGAGGTGCAGCCATCCCCGAGCCCCTGCAGGCGACCTGGCAGGCCTGAGCTGCATCGAATCGCGAAATCGGATCGGATCGGAAACTCATCGGATCGCCAGCAAGTCGTCCCGAATGTGATCGAAGTCGGGCCGCCGAGCCCGGCTGCAGCTGGCTCGAGCCGGCGCTGGCGAGTCGAACAAAATCGAATCGACTCGGAATCGCGGGCGCAGCCGCGAGTCGAATCGCACCGAAGCGGATCTGGGGCGGCCCTGCCTGGCCGATCGTTATGCATCTGTACACATCTGGCAGACCTTATTGAAGGGGCCCCAGGACACACAAATAAATACACACAAATAAAAATATTCCCCATATTTCCCCATATTTTCTGGGTTTTTGTCTTCCCCCCCACTTCCCATATTTTCCCATATTTTCTTGGGAATCGACGATTAATTGTGTCTGTGTGTTTTTTCCTCTCCTGACTTATCAGCGTTATACGTTTAGAGACGCAACGAACCGAACTATCACGTGCTCTTCTTTGCGAGCGCAGCCGGACGCGCTCCCCCCGTGGGACCAGAGCGTGCCCGGGTTGCGCTCGAGGGTCGCGCGTGCCGGTCGCGGCTCTGCGCCCGCATGACTGCTTGCTGTCTGGCCGGCTCTCGCTCGCCTGCCTGCCTGCCTGCCTGCCTGCCTGCCTGCGTGCGTGCGTGCGTGCCCGCCAGCCTACTTGCTTGGCCCTCCTGGTAGCTTACACCACGTTCATTTGGAGTCAACACTGCTAGAAGTGTTTGACCTGCCAAGGAGAAGGTCCGCATGGTTGCTCCACTCTGGCCCTCTGGGCGACTGGACGAGGCGACCGCGGGCCTTCGGGCTTGGTGACGACGGTGAGGTTCATCTTCTTCATGCGGTCTTTGAAGGCCTTCATGATGGCTGGCGACTGCTGACCTGCAGCCCCTCTTCGGGAACGCGGCTGCCGCAGCGACACGGGCGTGAGATCTCAAATTATCAGTGCGGCCGAGCGGGAGCCAAAAAAAAGGCTGTGACAGGGGGGCGGGCTGACAGCGATGGCGGCGACTGTAGTGGCGGTGATGGGCAGTGTCAGTGGGCGGCAGCTGGAAAGGCGGCACGCAACAAAAGAACGCGCGGTGGATGGGATAAGGCCGACGAAAGGGGAGAGCGATAAGGACAAGAGGACGCCAGGCATGCATCAGCACCGGTCCTGGCCAGGTCCATTCTGGGCCCAGGATTGGAGCACATTTACGCCCCCGGGCTTGCGAGTGATCCTGGGCCCAAGATCGGCCTGGCCAGGATCGGTGTAGGCGTATGGTGTACAATTGGGGATTTGGTGTCCTCCCAAAGGAGGAAGGAGGCGGTGGGTGGCGATGGCAGGAGGTGGGCGTCAAACGTAGGTCACCTGACTTCGACTTTCGCGCTGCGCGGAGAGGGGGCGCGACGCGCTGCGGGATCGACCTGCGACCACCCCTGGGGCCCGACACCGGGCTGGAGGGCGCCTGGTGCGGAACAGTGTGACGCCAGGATCTCAGGGCCTGGAGGCCCAGAGCGTGCCTGAAGCTCCCGCGGGTCGCACGCCCCTCTCGGGGAGAGAAGGGGGAGAAACTGGGAGGAGGGCGGCGACGATAGAGAAAACCCCTGGGAGCCTCCAAGAGATCCCCGAGAGCCCCCGGGAACCTCTGTAGACCGCTGGGAACTTCTGGAGACCGCCGAAGGCACCCAGGAAAACCATCAAAAGCGTGACTTTGGACGCCCGAAATGGGTACGGACAGAAACGGGTACGATGCCCGACAACAAATGCTGTCCCAAGCCGACAGCGGCCGCTGTTGGGCAGGCGGCCTTCTGTCTCAAATGGACAACGCCCGCGGCGAAACCGACAGCGAGCCCTGTTCAAAGTGAACCGGACATGCTATCGGTAACCATTCTTGCCGCACCCGTTCCGATCGTGCCGAAAGGGCATCGAGGGTGCCAGGGCCAAAAGCCCTCAGAGCGTCGACCAGTGGCGACATCCGAATCCTACCCCCACCAGCCATCGATCGTCCTGACCCGATGGGAGGCAGGGGCAGGGCCAGGATTTCGCCACGCGCTCGACGAATTCCGAACCCTGCCCCCGCCGCCCACCCAGTTGCCCGAATCGTTGATCGGCGAGGGCCGACTTCGGACTTCGCTGCCGAATTCGGGAACGGCCAAGAGGGGGGGGGTCCAAGAGGGGGGGTGCGCAAATCATGACCGGCGGCATGTGCCTGGCCCAGCGGGGGGGCCTGGGCCGCAATGAAATGGAAGAGGCGCCACGAAATCTGGGGAAATATCATGGCCCACGCCATGATATCCCCCCCCCCCCTAGTCATCACCCCCCTCTTTTCCGCTCCCGACGAATCGAGGGCCGTCGGGGCGGCGGGCGGGCGGCGGGCGGCGTCCTGCCGCCGCCCTCCAGGCGCGCAGCGCGCCCGCCAGCGCGCCGCGGCGCCGCACGCGGCCCGCCAGCCGCGAGCGCTGCTCGGCGGCCGCGAGGCCCCTCCACTCGAGGGCGACCGACGGCCCGGCGGCCAGGGACGGCCGGCCCCCCGCCCCCCCCGCCCCCCGCGCCCCTGCGGAGGAGGGGAAGGGGGGGGGGGGGGGGGCATCTCTGACTCGGTGTGGGCACCGCGGACGGCGTGCCACTCGGAGGGGGGCGGGGGAAGGGGGGTGAGGAGGAGGGAGGGGGAGGAGGGAGGAGGAGGAGGAGGAGAGGAGGAGGGGAGGAGGAGGAGGAGGTGGAGGTGGAGGAGCAGGAGGAGGAGGTGGGAGGAGAAGGGAGGGTGGAGGAGGAGGCGGGGAGAGAAGGGAGGAGGTGGGAGGAGGAGGAGGGAGGGAGGGATGAGGAGGGAGGATGGAGGAGAGAGAGGAAGGTGGAGGGGGGGAGGGAGGAGGGAGAAGGGTGGACGGAGGAGCAGAGAGGAGGGAGGAGGGAGGAGGGAGGGGGAAGGAGGAAAGAGGGGAGGAGGGAGGAGGAGGAGGAGGGAGGAGGGAGAAGGGGGGAGTAGGAGGAGTAGGAGGAGGAGGAGGAGGAGGAGGAGGAAGAGGAGGAGGAGGAGGAAGGAGGATCGATTATGGAGGAGGAGGAGGAGGAGGAGGAGGAGGAAGGAGGGAGGAGGAAGAGGAGAATGAGGAGAAGGAGGAGAAGGGAGGAGGAGGAAGGAGGAGAGGGAGGGAGGGAGGGGCACGAAATTACGACCACGACGGGATATCGTCCTTGGGGGCTTGAACGGCCCTCCTGCCTCCTCCTCCTCCTCCTCTTCCTCTTCTGGATTTCCCGAAATCCTGATCGCCTGGGATGTGGGATATTCCAGGCACTCAAAATTTTAGAACTACTGATTAATTCAACCAAACTACTCCTTACAAGCAATGGGTGTATATGTATGTAGATCTAACAAAACATGAAGCTGTGGTGGTTCTGGATTTCCCGGAACCCTGATCGCGTGGGTTGTGGAATATTCCACTCCTTCCGAATTTTAGATTTGCAAGAATATCAGCCAGCGCTGACTCCGAACAAATTAGGCGACTCAAATCCAGGAGTCCGAATAATCAAGCATGCTTGGAATCCGCAACTCATCAAGTCATCAAGCAAGCAAACGTGCAAGCAAGCAAGCAAGCAAGCAGGCATAGGCAGAGGCGCAGGCATAGGAGTTAAGGGGGAAGCATAGGCATAGGTATAGACATAGCCACAGGAACTGTGGAGGGCATAGGAATTAGAGGGCAACGGACCAACTAGTAGGGTTTGAGCTAGGGCTCCTAGAAAGCAAAAACCTATTTAGATAATCAAACATGCTTGGAATCCGCCACTTTGCAAGCAAGCAAGCGTGCAAGCAAGCGCGCAAGCAAGCAAGCAAGCAAGCAAGCAAGCAAGCAACCAAGCAAGCGCATAAGCAAGCAAGCAAACAAACAGGTACAGACATAGGCATTGGCATAGGCGTAGGCATAGGAATTAGGGGGAGGCATGGGCATAGGCATAGACATAGCCATAGGAATTAGGGGGCACGGACCCATTAGTAGGGTTTGAGCTAGGACTCCTATAGGGCAACCCTACTTGGTGAAAGAATCTACAAAAGTTCAGGTGGCTCTGGATTTTCCACAACCCCGATCGCCTGGGTTGGGGAATATTTCAGGCCCGCAAGGTTTTAAGAATTCTTGGGAGTTTCAGAATTGAGAATTCCAATTCCAATTCTGACATTCTGAAATTCACAAATTTGTTGGTGGTTCCCGATGTCCCGGAATCCTGATCGCCTCTCGGCCCCAGCTGAACATTGGTACGACATGTCATTGAAATTCGCTCGGGCCCCTCATGAATTGCTCTCGGACCCTTGAGGGCGGCCTCCTGGGCCGTCTTGGAACGATATGTGGGGCCTCTCGGGCTGTTTGCGGCAATTCTTGGCCCTGGGGGGGCGATAACCTGAAAGCCCTTACAAAACCGAAAAAAACATATGTTGTTTGGGGAAAAGAAGAAGAGGACGGGGCGAGGAGGAGGAGGAGAAGGAGGAAGAAGAAGGCGAAGCGGAAGAAAAGAAGAGGACGGGGCGAGGAGGAGGAGGAGGTTATTGTTCAATCGTGGGCAGAAGGAACGCGGTTCCGACGTCCACGACCCCAATATCTGCAGCTTCTGTAGCTGCAGGCTTGCAAGAAAAGTCAACTCTTCGAGAACGCATGCGATGGAGTGCAGAACCAGGGGCTGGCCACACTTTGCCTTCGCGGCGGAGCTATAGGCCCACTTGTTACCCAACAGGCGACAGAATGCATCAAACCCGCGACGATGTCGCGGTCTGCAGATAGTTCTGGCAATGGCAACTCTGAGGCAATGCGCAAGAAGAAGTGGCGAGAAAAACAAATAGGTGAAGGACTAAGCGCTGCGCTCAGCCCTGGGTCAGCCGTAGTCCCTTTCCTCCTTGATGTGCTGCTCGAGGGCAAACTCACTGCCCAGCTCTTGTTTGAAAGCCAGCCGAACGGCACTCGCGCGCACCCTCTGCATCATGCCCGCGCCCTGGCTGGACACCGCTCGGCGCCCCCACCGCGCGGCGCAGCGCTTCGCCACAGCCGCCGCGCGCTGCTGATGGCCGACCCTCTCGGCCAGCCGCCAGCCTCGCGCGAGGTCCCACGGCGCGCCCTTCTCCAGCCCAGAGAGGCGCCACCCGACCGCGATGACCTCCAGGAAGACCTTGGCCTCCGCCTCGGGGTCCACCGCCTGCCAGACACCTGGCGCCAGCCGAACCGAGCCGCCTTCCCCTTCGCGTCCCTCGTCCTCGTCTTGCTGCACGTGGAGGCCCCTCACGCGAAGCCTGTCGCACAGCTTCTCCTCCACGCCGAAGCCTGGGCCGCACACGCCCTCGCACTCGACGCCGCTCTCCTGGCGCTCGTCGTCATCGGGGCCCCCGCCGCAGACGTCGCACTTCGCCAGCAGCTCGGCCTCGAAATCTGCGACGCGCGCGACCACGGCACCCTCCAGGCCCTCGCCCCGCGCGAAGGCGGCACCGACAGCACCCAGGCCATCAGCCAGGCCATCTCCGCCGAGCTTCGGGCCATGCTGGGCGCAGCGCCACTCGGCCAGCGGCGCGCCCTCCGCAGGGCGCCGCCGAGCGTGGAGCGCCACATTGCGGATCAACCGCTGCGCGCCCGACTCCACGCCCCCTGCGACACGCGCCTCCAGCGCCGGCCGCGCCAGGCGCTCGCGACGCGCATCCTCGGCTCACACGCCATGGCCCGCGCCCCTGGCCGACAGCTGCTCCTGGGCCTGCGCCGACTTGGCCTTGGTCTCCTCGAGTTCCTTGACCAGCTGCTGGACAAGGCGGTCTGCCGAGGCACGCGCACCAGCGCCGCCTCGCAGACACTCCCGCGCCCTCCCGCCCAAGCGCCCGCACGCGCGCACCCGAGCTAATACCTTGC